ATTGCCGTAGAGGAAGTAATAATATCCTTGTCTGAAACAGAAGAAAAATATGATAGAGAGCTTTTTTTAGGAGGGGTGGATCTGCTTGCGAACATACACGTACGCATAAACACACGCACAAATACAGAGCCAAGCACACATAGGATATACCTACACACATTCGTAAAAACATGTGCACACACACATAAAAAACGTGCGCATGCACGCACACAACCACATACACAGCCACGCACAACAAAATATAGACGCATACAAATTCATACACAAAAATGACACATCGTATGTATTATGTGCAGTTTATTTACGGGTATATATGCACACATACATAAATATATATTCATGTGTGTGTGCATACATATATATATATATATATATATATATATATAGAGAGAGAGAGAGAGAGAGAGAGAGAGAGAGAGAGAGAGAGAGAGAGAGAGAGAGAGAGACCAGTAGTGCCCAGTATATCCAGAAGATACGGTTCTTGACTCCCCGCAATGGGCCTGATAAGAGCGGCCAGCATCGTGAGCGACGGCTCGGATCTCCTACTCAAAACTCCAGCAATTTACCAGCAAGTCTTCAAAGGCCAGAAGTTCATATTTCATCGCAGCCAAAGGAGGAGCTACCTCAGCAGCAGCGGACGGGGGTGCTGTAATAACATTATGCAGCAGAACGTGTTCATCGGCTGTTCTCTCTTGCAAGCGGGAACAGAGTTATACATTTTATTATTGTTACTGTTGTCATTATTTTTAGCATCATTATCATTATAAGCAGTAGTATTACTTTATTATTTTCATTATCATTATTACTGATATCATAATTATCATCATTATCATTATTATCAGTATTCGTATTACCATTATTGATGTTATTATCATTATTGTAATCATAATTCGTACTATCATTATTAACATTATCATCATGTTTCTTATCATTGTTCGTGGTGGCGGTGGTATTATTGTTATTATTATTATCGCTATCATTATTATCATCATTATCATTATTATTCTGTTTCTTACTGTCATCAATGGAGTTGTTATTCTTTCATTATTTCTTATCACTACCATTATCATAATTATAATTATTACTAATGTCATTATCATTATTATCGTCATTAATGTTATAATTTTCGTTCTCGTGATTATTATTGATATTAGCATAAACATCGTTATCATTCTTGTCATCGTTACTGTTATGATTATTATTATTGTTATTATTACCATTATTTTTATTACAATTATTATTATTATTGATATTGTTATTGTTATCATAATTATCATAATTATTTTTATTGATATTAATATTATTATCGCTATTATCAGTTTATTATTTATCATCGTCATTATCATTGGTAGTTTTATTATCATTATCATCATTGTTAACATTATCGTTATTTCCATCATTAAGACCATTACCCTTATTACTATCGGTATTTCATGATTATTATTGTTACTATCAATTTCATCATCATTATTGCCACCATTGCCTTTATCATTACTGTGATTATCATCATTATCATAATTATTACCATAATTATCATCACCATCATTACAATTTCTTTATCCTTATAATCATCATTATTTGGTGTTACCAAATGGATAGCAATATTGTAATTGCCAAATATATATATTACACGGAATATGTCGCATTCTTCTTTCTTCATAAACAACAAAGCATCTTCGTCAAAATGATAATTACAGAAAAATAATTATAAGCAATAAAACGGTTTGAAGGACAGAACGACACGCCCGTCCATGAGTGGCCGTCGCCCGCGTGTCCCCCGCCCCCCCCGGTGCCCCTCGCCGCCGTCCCCCCTGCCCCTGCCCCGGTGCCCCTCGCCGCCGTACCCCCTGCCCCTGCCCCCCGGTGCCCCTCGTTGCATCCGTCACCCCCGTGCTCCTCCTCCCCCCAGGACTGCATCGCCTCCCCCGCCCCTGCCCGGTGCCCCTCGCCGCCGTCCCCCCTGCCCCTGCCCCCCCCCCCGGTGCCCCTCGTTGCATCCGTCACCCCCGTGCTCCTCCTCCCCCAGGACTGCATCGCCTCCGCCGTCCCCCATGCCCTCTGCCCTCCTGCGCCCTGCGTCGTCTCCCGCCCCGGTGCCCCTCCCCCCGGAGCCGCGTCGCCCGCCGCCCGGACGAATCCCGCGCCGAAACGGACAGCGCGATCGGAGCACAGCATCTCGGCGTTTGAAGAGCCTACCTAGGCATTACCGGCTAAATTAGGGCGTCACAGAACCGATTCCCTCGTCCGCTTGATGGCTTAAACGCCCAGATATAATTCTGCGGCCTAATTGGTGGTTGAAAAGTCATAAAGAGATCTGATTGGGCTTTTTTACCGCTTCTCGAGTGGTGGTTAGCCGTCCGGACCCAAGGTGGTGCTTCGTCATTCGCCGTCGCATCCGGTCGGCTGATTGGCCATCTCCCGCGGATTTGAATATCCCAGAAATAATACGATATATGTATATGCATACAATAATACATGCATATACATGTAGACACACACA